GATACTTTACTATGACCTGAGTCTGATGATGAGTACTGTGGGGTGTTCAGTCTTGTTTGGCGGAAAGGAAAAACATCATTTGCATTTTTCCAATTTCTTGTCATTTTGCTGTTGAAATAGTAGAACAGTAGAACGTCATACAGACTTCACCCAATGCACATTTAATTTACTGCAGTCTGTATCTGTAAAAGTCTTTACAGGAAAGGGAAAAACGCCTGTTACTGCTGTTAATGTGACTTATACTGCTGTGGTGTTTCAAACCGAAAGTAAAGGCTGAGCCGTGTGTCCCCCTGGTAGACACTCGACCCACCGATCTTCAGTGTAATTGTTGACTTTATTATACAGCTTAGCAGACGTGACCGAATCCAAATTCAGTCCACAGCACGTCGACGTGGTCAGAAAACCATGCGGCTTCCATCTTTTTCTTAAAAGGAAACCACCAGTTTTAGTTTCAATGTGGTTCAGTTTCAGTGTGATGGATGGATGAAAGCTGTGACTCTACTGATTTAATAACAAGTTCAGACAGCATCACTTCTCTAAAACTACAGAAGCGAGAACTCACAGTCTTATTAACACCCTCATCTCTATGAACATCTGCACCAAGACGTCTCAGCATGACACTCACAGCTCCACATCTGCTCAGAATCAGAAATAATGCAGGGCGAAGAGCAAAATGCTCCCAAAATAACCCTATTATTAAACACCACAGCCATTAAGTACAAGCAGAAACCATACTGAACAGAAAATCACCCAGAATCCTCAGCAGCTAAATCTACTCTCAGCTGTGTGAGTCAGTGAGTCACTCTTTCCCTTCATTCCAGCTTCCATTCTGTTCAGGAGCCTCACTTTCAGCTCCTCAAAGAATCTGCAGACACACCTCCAAAGTTCAGTCTTAAAAGCTGGTTGATCATTTTCTGAAGTAATCAAACACATTCAGTGGTGTTGAGGTCTGGACTCTGGGGTGGTCAGTCCATCGTTCAGCTTCTTTGTTTGATGTGTCCGTCTCCTTTTCTCAGTGAGGTTCTTCTTGATCAGCTACACATCCTTTCAGACCCACAGCGCTGAGTCGTCTTCTCACAGTGGAAGGATGGACAGAAACACCTGTGGATGTTTTCAGATCTGATCAGCTTGATTTTCTCCTCTCTCTCAGAGATGAAAGCTTTAAGTGCTGTTTATCTGATGGGGCAGTTTTGGGGTCGACCAGCTCTTCCAGGTGGTTGTTAGGGGCCACATTTTCTCTGGAGCTTTTAGTCAGTTTTTGTGCTCCAGTTTTTGACTTTCTCCTTCATCATGGAATAATATCGCATAAATCTATAAGGATTTAATTTGTAAATGCTCTGCTTTAAACAGCTCTTCAGTATTTTAAGTTGAATGATATTTTGAACATTTCTAATGTCTCAGTTTCTGTTTTTCCTCTTCTCTCTCAGTTTGGCTCTGTGGTGGTCCCGGTTTGTTGATGTGCGCTTTGCATATGAAAAAATAATAACAACATATTTGAATAATTAGATGATCCCAGATATGAGCAGGAAAGTCAAGCACTCCAGTGAAGTGTTGCCGTGAGGCAGCTGTCAGTCTCCACCCCCACCGCTCGGCTGCTGAGAGGCCATCACTGAAACACTCTGAATGTTCTCCTGGAGCTTTCTGAGCAGAGAACCGCACCGCCCTCCACACGACAGGAGGCGACGATTAAAAGCCGCAGGAGCTGAAGGAGCTGAGAGAAATGAAGAAGCTAAAGAAGCTGAAAGAGCTGAATAGCTCAAAGAGTTGAAGGAGGAGAACCTGAAGGAGTTGAAGCTGAAAGAGGGCTTGAAGGACCTGAAGGGGTTGAAAAAGTTTAAGGAGATAAAGGAGCTGAAAAATGTGAAAGAACTCAAAAAGTCAGATGAGTTAAAGGAACTGAAGGAGCTGAAGCAGAAAGAGTTAAAGGAACTGAAGGAGCTGAAGCAGAAAGAGTTAAAGGAACTGAAGGAGCTGAAGCAGAAAGAGTTGAGGGAGCTGAAGATGCAGAAGGAGTTGAGGGAGCAGTTGAGTGTCTGATACACTCGTACGTCCTCAGATTCTCTACACTTTTTAAAAAGGGTTCCTCAGTAAAGACAGTGGTTCTATATAGAACATGAACACTCAAAGAACCCTTTGCACACTTAAACGGTTCTCTGGTGAGAGATGGTGAAAAACCATGGTGAAATGTTTTTTTTAGATTGATGGAGAACGTGCTGTATATGGTTCTATACAGGACCAAAAAGGGTTCTTCTACTGTTACGATGTCAAGCTGGTATATAATAAAACAACACTTTTTGGTTCTATATAGAACCAAAGACATTCTCCACCAATCTGAAGAACCATTTCACCATGCAATGAACCAGCTAAGCATGCAAGCATGCAGATATTCTGTGATGTTCTGTGATATTCTGCGATGTTCTCTGGTGTTCTCTGATGTTCTGTGGTATTTTGTGATATTGTGATGTTCTCTGGTGTTCTCTGATGTTCTGTGGTATTTTGTGATATTGTGATGTTCTCTGGTGTTCTCTGGTGTTCTCTGATGTTCTCTCGGTCTTTATCACCAGCACTGTGAGGAGGCGTCTGATTCTCTGCTATGTAACTCCAGCAGAATGACGAAAGCTCTACTGGAACGAATGAAAGCAGCTTAGCACTCGGCTCCTCTCAGAGACTCAGCTCTACGTTCTCTTACAGTCAGCAGGTCAGCAGTTCAGCTAGAGGACACAGCAGAGTCCACACTGAGCACTGAGAGCAGCACCAACCAGCACTGAGACACAGAAGGAGCTCAAAACCCTCACCCTCCTCTTAGCTTCTGGAGGCACACCTCAGGAATCCCACACGGACCTTTCAGATCTGTTTTAGTTTAGTTTTGGGATCCAGATCTTGGAATCGGTCAGTTGTCCAGTACCAGCACACCAAACTCCAAAACAATGATCAAAGATTCAGAGAAAGTGAATCTGTTCAGCGCTGCCTTCTGGAACCACAAACGGACCCCACAGATCCCCTCACTGAACTCTGGAATCCAGAGCTGAAGGAGCTGAAACTGAAGGGGTTGAAGGAGCTGAAGGAGTTGAACGAGCTGAAGAAGCTGAAGGAGCTGATGCTGAAGGCGTTGAAGGGGCTGAAGGAGTTGAAGGAGCTGAAGAAGCTGAAGGAGCTGATGCTGAATGAGATAAAGGAGCTGAAGGAGCTGGAGGAGCTGATGCTGAAGGAGTTGAAGGGGCTGAAGGAGTTGAAGGAGCTGATGCTGAATGAGATAAAGGAGCTGAAGGAGCTGGAGGAGCTGATGCTGAATGAGATAAAGGAGCTGAAGGAATTGAAGGAGCTGCAGGAGCAGAAGGAGTTGAAGGAGCTGAAACTGAAGGAGCTGATGTTGAAGGAGCTGAATGAGTTGAAGGAGCTGAAGTAGCTGAAGGAGCTGAAGCAGCTGAAGGAGCTGATGTTGAAGGAGCTGAATGAGTTGAAGGAGCTGAAGCAGCTGAAGGAGCTGAAACTGAAGGAGCTGAAGGAGCTGATGTTGAAGGAGCTGAATGAGTTGAAGGAGCTGAAACTGAAGGAGCTGAAGGAGCTGAATGAGCTGAAGGAGCCGATGTGAAGGAGCTGAAGGAGCTGAAACTGAAGGAGCTGAAACTGAAGGAGCTGAAACTGAAGGAACTGATGCTGAAGGAGCTGAAGGAGCTGATGCTGAAGGAGCTGATGTGAAGGAGCTGAAGGAGCTGAAGGAGCTGATGCTGAAGGAGCTGATGTGAAGGAGCTGAAGGAGCTGATGCTGAAGGAGCTGAAGGAGCTGATGTGAAGGAGCTGAAGGAGCTGAAGGAGCTGATGCTGAAGGAGTTGAAGGAGCTGAAGGAGTTGGAGCTGAAGGAGCTGATGTGAAGGAGCTGAAGGAGCAGATGCTGAAGGAGCTGAAGGAGCAGATGCTAAAGGAGCTGAAGGAGGCGATGTGAAGGAGCTGAAGGAGCAGATGCTGAAGGAGCTGAAGGAGCTGAAGGAGGCGATGTGAAGGAGCTGAAGGAGCTGAAGGAGCTGAAGGAGGCGATGTGAAGGAGCTGAAGGAGCAGATGCTGAAGGAGGCGATGTGAAGGAGCTGAAGGAGCTGAAGGAGCTGAAGGAGGCGATGTGAAGGAGCTGAAGGAGCTGAAGGAGGCGATGTGAAGGAGCTGAAGGAGCAGATGCTGAAGGAGCTGAAGGAGGCGATGTGAAGGCTTTCTGAGATCCCGTTTTAGTGCTTCTGATCCTTCAGTCCGATCTTGAGGACGTGAGCAGGAACAGTAATTCAGCGCCAGATTTCACAAAACAAAATATCCAAGAAAAATATCCCAAAAAAAACAGCACTTCTAGCATTTCGGATCATCGTTCTGGAATCCCACACGGAATTCTTACACTCAAACTGAATGCTGGGTAGCTGCTGAGTGAATCACTGTTCCTCCTGATCTTCAGACCCAACAGAACAGACCAATGACATTCATCCTCCACCTGGTCACTCTCGTCATCACAGATCCTGCTGGACGCTCAGTATCGGTCACTTCTTCTGTTTACAGATCTTTCATCAGTCCTGACCTGCTGACATCACACACTGACCACCGTATCAATACACCATCAATAACACACTGCTGTATTAACCACACAACTAAAACATCACACCCAGCGCCGACCTCTGACCCCAGAGCTCCGCCTCTACACCCTGACCCTCATCAGATCAAAACTGAGTTCATGAACAAAAACCGGCACGACTCATTTTTACACGACCCTATTCATCCCCCAGACTTAAACGGTTCGGCTCACTGCGTCCTTAAGACTGATATATGTAAATGAGCTCTGTTCTGACTGGCTGTCCTGTATTAACTGCTGTAGACTGAATGGGCGGGGCCAAACGGGCCGGGCTAAACTATGGACGGGGGTAAACTGCTGTAGGCTTTTTGTGTACACTGCTTAATTTACACGGTTGAAATGGTTTTACTATAATTATCATTATTACTATTATTATTATCACAAGCACTCACCAGCTTCCTCCTCTTGTCCTGCTCCGTCGGAGGCTCTTCATCATCAGAGAGCTTCGGCTCCTCCACACTATTCATCAGCATACAACTGAGAGAGAGAGAGATACAGATACGGAGAGAGAGAGAGAGAGAGAGAGAGAGAGAGAGAGAGAGACAGACAGATACAGAGAGAGAGACAGAGAGAGATTTTATTGTTAATATAAAAGATGTGAAGGTTTCTTGTATAAAATGATCATCTTGCTAAAATATTATATTTGTTTATGCAAAAGCTGAGTGTGCTCTCTCCCTCTCTCTCTCCCTCTCTCTCTCTCATTTTCTCAGCTTTCTGTCTCCAACAACGCAGCATCTATAAACTTCTCCCATTTATACAAAGAAAAACACAAACTACATTTATCATAAAGCAGATCATCACTCAGCATCTTCAGACGCAGCGCTGAGATCATTTCACTGTCTGAACCCACAACACTCGCAAACACTCCGTCACTCTACAGCCCATTACTCTCTCTCTCTCTCTCTCTCTCTCTCTCTCTCTCTGCGTTCTCTCTCTCACTCTCTCCCTCTCCACGTTCTCTCTCTCTCTCTCTCCCTCTCTGTGTTCTCTTTCTCACTCCCTCTCTGTGTTCTCTTTCTCACTCCCTCTCTGTGTTCTCTTTCTCACTCTCTCTCTGTGTTCTCTTTCTCACTCTCTCTCTGTGTTCTCTTTCTCACTCTCTCTCTGTGTTCTCTTTCTCACTCTCTCCCTCTCCGCGTTCTCTCTCTCTCTCTCTCTCCCTCTCCGCGTTCTCTCTCTCTCTCTCTCTCCCTCTCTGTGTTCTCTTTCTCTCTCCCTCTCTGTGTTCTCTTTCTCACTCCCTCTCTGTGTTCTCTTTCTCACTCTCTCTCTGTGTTCTCTTTCTCACTCTCTCTCTGTGTTCTCTTTCTCACTCTCTCCCTCTCCGCGTTCTCTCTCTCTCTCTCTCTCCCTCTCCGCGTTCTCTCTCTCTCTCTCTCTCCCTCTCTGTGTTCTCTTTCTCACTCTCTCTCTGTGTTCTCTTTCTCACTCTCTCCCTCTCTGCGTTCTCTCTCTCTCACTCTCTCTCTGCGTTCTCTCTCTCTCACTCTCTCTCTGCGTTCTCTCTCTCTGCGTTCACTCACTCGCTCTCTCTCTCGCTCTCTCTCAATTTCAATTATCAATTCAGTAAGCTTTATTGGTACGACCATATTCATTTACAGTTTTGCCAAAGCATCAAAAGGAACAAGAAGAATTAACATTCAGAACATAGAGCTTCAGAACAAGAGCAGAAGAACTCTTCATTTCTCTCTCTCTCTCTCTCTCTCTCTCTCTCTCTCTCTCTCTGTATCTGAGACTCACTCTTTGAAGGTTCCCGTGTCGGGGTCCTCAGTCATGACGTCGTGCAGGGCCTCCACGCAGACGTTGATGATTCCGCAGAATTTGTCCTGAATCACACTGAAAAATGAACGGTAGCGTTAGCGTCAGTCAGCGCTGACTCGCCCCGCCGCTCGCCGCCCGGCCGTCTGAGAGCAGAGCTCTGAGTAATGACCGTGCGGATGATGGACTGAGACTCACAGGGCAGAAAAACATTTAGAAAAACATCTAAAAAACAGCAGATCAAAAAACATCAAACAGAAAACGCAGCACAGTTTTAGAGTCACGACGTGAGCGGACAGATCTAGAGACGGAGAGATTAGAGACAATCATTTTAATACTCGAGAATCTGAAAGACTTAATATACAGTTGATAACAGAGAAGAAAACAACAACAACAACAACAACAACAAGATCTTAGTCAAAACTACAGCCGGAAAATTCATAAACAAACTTTATGTTGGCTTGACAAAGTCTTTGCTATGGTATCCCAGGTGGTTGCTATGGTGTTAATAGGCCATTGCAGTATTTCCAACATTATGCCTTTCATTTCCTGTGGAGATAAAAAGTGTCTGAAGGAATGTTTTGATTAGAGCAGCGAGAGTTTAAATTAGTTTCTTTAGTTTATTTTTAGTTTCTGTGAGTAAAACGCCACAGGAGTCCAATCTGCCCACGGTTTTAGTGCCTCATCATTGGAGAACCGTTCTATTGCTTTCTTTTTCAAGTGCTCTTTAATGCTCATCTGATCCACACAGTCACTCTGACAGGAAGTGGGGAGTGATGAGCCCAGTAATCGTCAGTGTGCGGTGCAGCGGGAGTTCGCTACAGAAATCTGATATTTCAGTGGATCATTTCTTCAGGACACTCGTGCACCACCCGACCTCCTCCGTCACACCTTTCATAACCAGAACTACTTTAATAACTATTTTGGAACATAATACAGGCCTTATCAGGATCTGGTGATATTACAGCTAGCATGGCTGCTATGGTAACCCATCAAAGAGGCATCATATTAAAGATTTCTTATCTCCTCCCCCAGACGTGACCGACCAGCCCGCACGAACCCGAATCTCAGCCAGACCGGCGCTCTGCACTTCACCACGCCGCACGGCACTCGGCGCTCGGGCTCAGCGCCGACTACTGAGGAGGTGAGGATACATCACTGTGTAGTGTGAGTTCTTCTGACGTCAGCATCGGAAGCTGCTTTCTTCTTACCTTCAGACCAGAGCTGTGACTCGAGTCATATGACTTGGACTTAAGTCGGACTCAAAAAACTAATCTGATGACTTAAGACTCGACTTTGACCACAACACCTATGATTTGGACTTTGACTCCAACATGACGACTCAGATTTTGACTCCAACACTGATTCGGACTTTGGCCTGAACAGCAATGACTCAGACTTTGACTCCAACACAGTGACTCGGGCTTGGACTTTAACATAGTGATTTAGACTGGGACTCCAACAGAATCACTAGGACTCTGATTTGAACACCAATGACTCGGACTTTGACTCCAACACAGTGACTCAAACTTTGACCTAAACACCAATAATTTGAACTTTGACACTAAAACATTTACTTAGACTTTGACTCCATTACAATGACTCGGACTCTAAAGTCTGGTGGAGGGGGAGTGATGGGCAGGGGCTGTTTTTCATGCTTGGCTCCAGTGAAGGGAGGTCTTAAGGCTACAGTATCCAACCACACTGTAGAGAACTGTGGAACAGTTTGGGGAGAATCCTCTCCTGTTTTAGCCGAACAGCTCCACCGTGTACAAAGCGAACTCCGTAAAGTAGCGGTTTGCTGAGTTTAAAAAAACTTAAATGACCTCACAGAGCTCTGACCTCAACCCCGTCCAGCATCTTTGGGTTTGAGCTAATGTTAGCATGTGGCTAAGTCATTGTTGTTTCAAACCTGCGCTGGTTGGATTAGCGAGAGGAACTCAGTAGCATTTTAAACTTAAACCAACACAGCGACTCTACAGAATCTCCACAGCTTCTCTGTAGTTTGACTGGGAACTCCAGCAGCTCCACAAACGTTCCTCACACTGATTCTTGCTGGAAACAACAAATAAGACAGAGAGAAATAATCAATAATATGCAGCCGAATGAACAGCTGTCTGTTCCCATCAGGCTGCTGAGTGCAGGGACTCGCAGAAGAGGACTTCACATGGCGGGTTCCTCTAATGAGGGACGGAGGAACTGGATGGAGAAAAACTTGTGTTCCTCCCAAATGATCGAGCAATTTCTCCAACCACGACAGCGCGCCAGCACTCCGGACCCAAATGACACCATTACGGCCGTCCTCCAGCGGAGGCTTTCAGCCAGAGAGAGAGCGAGGAGCAAGCCGGAGCAAATGCACTCCGATGCATTATGGAGAACAGGAAATGGACGGAGGCCCACGTCGGGTTATTTAAGTGCCAGAGCCGCTCCGTCACGTCGAAAGTGGTCAACTGCCCCGATATTTCAACACAACCTCAAAGTCACACTGTATTATAGCGTAAACAGCACCACATGCAGCGTTACACGAATTACCCACAGGTCAGGAGGCAACACGCCACCCACTTTACATCACGCTAATTATGCCGCCACTGACAGCTAATCAGGACCACTGACACAGGAGCTCCCCTCCAAGGTGAATTCACATGCTTCCTCGCTGTTAGGCTTCCTCAGAGGGATATTACATCACTGCTCGGGATGAAGCTCCTCCCGCTGCGCGTCCAGTGATTTCTGCAGCGTCTAAGACGTTGCGTAAGGGCACAATTTCCTCCTCCATTCATCTCAAAGCTGCTCTCAGACTGCAGCAGCTCCAAATTAGCCCACTTCAGCATCCGCGTGTAGTTCTAGCTGGACAATTAACTGGACAGCCTGGACAAACTCAGCAAGCTAACAGTCTAACTAACCAGCTAGAAAGCTAATCAGATGGGGAAAAAAAAGAACTTTCAAAAATCACAAAGTAAATGAACATAAATTCCTTCTCTCTCTTCCTTTCGCTCAGCTTTTTTCTTTAATAAAATAATAAATTATCACAAACACAACTATAACACTCAGATAAAACTGCGCAAAATACTGCGCTAATCACAGAAGGCTGCAAATATGCAAATGAGTCGTCTAACCAATCAGCTCTCAGCTAATAAGCTAAGAGACAAATGAATTAGCTAGCAAGCTATTCAGGTAAAAAGGCTCATCATTTAAAAGTTTTGAATAACTTGTCATTTTAATGACTGATATTCAATAATGACACACAGTGTGAACAGACGTGTTATAACAGACACCAAAACGTAAACAAACGGTTTATTTACAATTTAAAGTATTATAAATAAATAAGTAAATAAATAAACTACAGTTGTCTGTTTATAGTAGTTTGTTATGAAATTTGCTATGAAAAGATGTTTGATCAGTGAGATTTGGCCACTGTGCTCTGAGTATAATGCTGTGTCCGTTGCCGGACCCAATGCAGGCCAAGCGGGGCAGCGGGAGGAGGACATCAGCTGTGAGAGAGAACAGTAGAACGACGACACCCGAGTCCCGAACTTCACATCCCGTTCCGCAGCGAAGTCACTGGACCGCTCTTCCTCAGCGCTGGTCCTGGAGGCCACTCTGCTCCCTCTCTGCTCTTCTTAAAGGCGCCCACGCTGCCAAAGCCTAACCAGGATCAGACGGTTCTCTTTAAGGCAGCATGAGCACCTGAGCTGAGAGGGAAAGAGACCTCGTTGCTCTGCCGTCCCGTCACCACCCCATGCTCCACGGCTCATACATGGAACAGGAGGCGGGGTTCCGGACTCGGCGCCGTCCTCATGCCTCTCATGGCTGTCGTTGTTCTACTGCTCTCTCTCGATGTTCTCCTCCCGCTGTCACTCGCAGCCTTCATCAGCGTTCGAGGCTCAGGCTCAGGTCTGTGTCCGTGTGTCAGGTGACTTTAGCTGTGTCCCCAATTCGGGGCTGCATTTGAAGGCCGACTGCGTCACAGCGGCGCGACTAGTCTGTCCCATTTCGAAAGCTCCTTCATATGCGGCCGAGAAATGTGTCCTTCTTTTCCATGGCAACAAAGGATCCAACGGGTGCCAGCGAGGATCGAGAACATGGCGGCATCAGCAGAGGAGCGAACGGCGGCTGAGGAGACGCCTTAAATGTGAGTACTGAGTTTAAACTGAGTCGAACAGCGAACGATACAGATGTTAAAAAAACATCATCAGTCTAAGATGCATCACAGGCTGATGCAGGCGGCGGCGGTGAATCATCTCCAGCTCTAAAAAAAACAGGAAATCCGCCGTAGAGCAGAACGCCTCACTGCGGTTCAGCCTTCACGGGTCTAAGCAGCCTTTGAAGGACACGTCATTTGAAGGATGCAGCCCCTGAATTGGGACACACTGACTGTTCACTGTCAATGTTACTCAGATTTCACACTGGCTTTATATTCTTATCAATGGTGATAATGTACAGTTACTGAACTATCAGAAGACTCAGTAAGCAGATTTAACAGCACTGAGGTCAGAAATCTGATTATTACTGTACTTTTCTGCTCTGACTCTGAAATCTTCTCCTTCTCAGTTGGTGTGAAGGTGATCAAAAGTCTTTAAAGAGCCCATATTCTTCATTTTCCTTTATTTCCTGTATTTATGCTTATGATGTGAATTTATGTACCAAAACCAGTCGTGATTAACTGTCCCTCCTCTGTTCACCTGAGTGAGGGTGTCAGGATCCTCACTGCAGTAACTCACCTGTTGTCTGAAGGTAAGAGGGACAGCAGAGCCAGACTGGACAGTTTTCTTCTCTCAGGCTGAGTGATGTTGTCCATGCGGTCCACCCACATCTCAATCATGTTCCCCAACAGTTGGTCCATCTGCAGAACCACCAGACCATCAGTGCCACATCTACACTTTGTCTTATCAGCTCCACTGACCACATAGTTTCACTCTGTAGTTCTACAGTTACAGACTGTCGTCCATCTGTTTCTCTGATACTTTGTTACCCTGTTCTTTAGTGGTCAGGACCCCCATGGACCCTCACAGAGCAGGTACTATTTGGGTGGTGGGTCATTCTCAGCACTGCAGTAACACTGACGTGGTGGTGGTGTGTTAGTGTGTGTTGTGCTGGTCTGAGTGGATCAGACACAGCAGCGCTGCTGGAGTTTTTTAACACTGTGTCCACTCACTGTCCACTCTATTAGACACTCCTACCTTGTCGGTCCACCTTGTAGATGTAAAGTCAGAGACGATAGCTCATCTGCTGCTGCACAGTTTGTGTTGGTCATCCTCTAGTCCTTCATCAGTGGTCACAGGACGCTGCCCACAGGACACTGTTGGCTGGACATTTTTGGTTGGTGGACTATTCTCAGTCCAGCAGTGACACTGAGGTGTTTAAAAACTCCAGCAGCACTGCTGTGTCTGATCCACTCACACCAGCACAACACACACTAACACACCACCACCACGCCAGTGTTACTGCAGTGCTGAGAATGATCCACCACCCATTCGCCGTGTTCTGCCACATTCAGCTGTACTGATAGCCAAAAACCCGCACACTGCCCCAAAAACACCTCAGAGACATTTAATGGGACAAAACAGCCCTGCTGAGCAAAGACCACTACAACCATTAGGATTAAAACCTGATGGTTTTGCTTTCTAACGGGAATTGGCTTAATGATTAGACTACTAGTTTCTGAAGACACCTTTAGATCCCATTAGGAAACCATCAGATGCGTCTAGAATCAGGGGCCGAAGACATGAAAGCTTTCTTAGGAAAAACAGTTGTGAAGGTTCTTAAGACAAACAGTAAGAGGTTCATAACACTGGACCTCGTTCTCCAAACGTGCTTAGTAAGAAATTTCCTCTTAAACCCTCTTACGCAGTTCTGACGAAGACTCTGACTCTCCACTGCTCTCTGATCTGAGATTCACTCTTAGGTAAGAACAGAATCTACACTCAAGAGCACAAAAGTTCTGCGCTTTAACAACACGTCATGAATCTGACGGAGACATTTTCTTAGAACCTTTATCAAGAACACACTTAAGAACAGACTTAGGAGGATACTGGAGAACGAGGCCCAAAGTTCTTGATATGCAATTCTCAAAAAAGCTTGAAAAGTTCTCAAATATTCTCTTCAGTAAATCTTGACTGTTTTTTATGTCGGCTGTG